GGGGGGGGGGGGGGGGGGGGGGGGGAAGGCACCAGCTGGCCCACTATGCCTAATTAGTCTTACACAGAGAAAAATGTACTATTTGGTTCAGAAACACTAAGATCATATTTTACAGGCAAAAAAACATTAAAGATTAATGTAATTTTTATGTAAACTTTTTTCCTGGGGGAAAATGCCCAACAATATCATAGAATCACCAAACTGGAAGGCCCTTATAGGTCATCTAGTCTACTGTCCCCTCACCCGACCCCAATGAAAGAGAATTCACCACTTCATGTGGCAGCCATTTCCACTGGCTGACCCACCATCATTATCATCATCATACAGTTATTGCTCTGTCACTTTCTCCTCGCAATGGACCTACACCTTCCTTGGATTTTCTTTTATTTCTAATGTATCCAAAAAAAAATTCCTTTGTTGTTTTTAGTGTCGTAAGACTCAACCCATTCTGCAGTTTATCTTTTCTGGCTCAGTTTGTATAGTTTCTGGAGGCTACCTTGCATTTTTCTTTGGTTATGTAGTCCTCCTTCCATTTGCTGTACATGCCCCCCTTTCAGTGTTTTAGACAGCTCTGCACATATCCATGCTGGCCTCTTTAGATTTCTTTCATTTTGTGTTTGTCCCTTCAGTATCTTGTTTTGTACGATTTCTCATCTTCCCTAAACAATTTTCTGCATAAGAATTTGAAACCCTTCTGCACAGGGGATTTTCCAGAATTTATTCTCCAGACTAGCTGATAGCAAAATATTGAACTGCAATAGTGTGAAATTTTTATGAAATGTATTATTTGTAAGTTGATCAAGACTAATGCTAGTTTATCGTAGCTGATCCTTGGGTGTAGCTGACCTCCAAACAAGAGCTGCACCAGAATCTTCCTTTTTGATAGTTTTAATGCAGCTGATATATACTAGGCATCTCTAGAGAAGAAAAAAGAAGTAATTGCTGCTGAAGTGCCCCAGGTGTTCACAGCAACTGGGGCAGTTTGAGTGTGTTGTTTTTCTGAATACTGCAGCATGAAACTCAGATACTTAAAATAGAGAACCTGATCTATTTTATCCTCCTTGAGGCTCCAATTCAATTTTTAAAGCTGCTTACAAAATAGATGACATTTGTTTTCTCACAGTTAATTTGTAGGAGGGTTCTTTACTGAAATCGGTCAATGATCTCATGGTCACTCTAAGGCCTGCCTGTTTCTGTGATAATAATACAGCATCATGTGCATAACGCAGTATAAATGTAGGTCTGTTTGCCAATTTTGGGGGTGGAAGTCTTCCTTATTTAAATAAACTACCATTGCATTGATGTAAAAATTGAACAAAAATGGGGTCAAGATATACCCCTTTCCAGCTGGCATAGCATCTGAGAGATGGCTTGTTATGGTACATCTCACCCTCATCTCAGGCTGCTATTCTTGTGAAGTGCATATAGTAGAGTGGGTGAACCATCTATTGATTCTAGATGCTTTGAGGTATGCCAAAAAAATTCTCTAGAAACAGAATCAAATGCATGCTGAAGATCTACAAACAGGGCAAAAAAAGCTGATTTAGGTGGCTGGGTATATTTTTCAATCTGGTGAGAAAATATCTTTCCCTAATCTCAAACAGAACAGCCTACTCTAAATCCTGCCTGCTACATGGCTAAGAGGTTCTCTTCTTCCAGCTAATCTAAAAATTTCCAGTAGAAGTGGCTAGCATAGATCTTACTAATTATACTAAAAAGGCTCACTGGGCAATAATTGGCTGGAACATCTTTCTTTCCCTTCTCTAGGAATAATAGTCTGACACAACTTTTAATAAGCTGTTTTATGGTCTGAAAATTGAAGAGCTGTTGCCTTCCTGTATGGGTATATACAAGATACCTAAATATATAAAGAGAAATAAATATGAAAACTTGGTTTACTCTTTCCTACTGGTACTTGAGTCCTAACACTTAAAATCTTATTGGTGTCCCTAAAAATGTATGGAATGCTATCAGAAACAGAGCCAACAATCTCCTTGACTTGATGAGGCAAGAGATGATAGATGAATTAAACAGCCTTCTAATGCCAGAACAGATGCAGTACAAAAAACTGTCTGCCATTGTGTTGCATCAGTCTTGAGGATTAAGGAGGTAAAGAGTTATTTGTGATTTTTAAAGAAAAACAGACTTGGAAGGGGCCTTTTAAAATATGAAGTCTAATCTGATCTGTAAACAAATATCCGAATTATGGTTCCATCTTCAAGAATCTGAAAACATACAGAATTATTCACTTTACGTTGAGGAGGTATTATGTGACAAGATTAATAATTTGTTTATAGTCCCTCTTTATCAACCAAGATACCATCCTTGCCCATTATAAGCATCCCAGTATTAGTTTGTTCTTATTAAAATGCATTTACTGTATGAGATTCCCCATTTTTGCACAATATTTACCCATCAGCAAGTGATTTGATTGAGGGTTATTTCACATGGATGGGTTTGCCATTATTTTAAGTGTATCATTATTATCAGACATGCATCCAAAATTTACATATAGCCAGTATTCTGTATAAATCAAGACAATTTTATTCTGCATATTTCCATCCCAGTTATTTTACCCGTGAATGAAGCCATCTATAATCTCTAGATTTTGCTATAAGTGAGTGTGGCTATAATGTGTTAATTATTTAATTAGATAAATTAATTTTTTGTACATGATGCAGGACAATGACTTCATCTACCTGGAAGAACCCAGAAAAAAGCCATTAAACAAACTGACTTTTGCATATGGACAAGTCAAAGCTCCACATTCTCATGTCACATTTTTAAAGATAATTTATTAAGAATTATGAATGAAAAGAATAAAAAAATACAAACTGCAAAAAACAAAAAAAAAATACAAAAAAGGAAAAAAGTATGAAAAGAAAAAAGAAAAAAGAAAAGAGAAAGAGAAAGAGAAAAGAAAAAAAAGAGAAGTAACTTTCCTCTTCATCCCAGCAGGTAAGACAAAAAACAAAGCACAAGGTTTGTAGATAAACACCTATCAGCTATTATAAGAATGACTAGTTCCTACAAGTTCTCGTTGTTTTCTCTCCGGGACTTCTTCCTCCCAACAATTTAATTTATTACATGAGGATTGAGCCTATAGCTTACTTGGTTATAAAAGTCTTGGTCTGCTGCCCCATTCATGCCTTAACTATATTGGAAAGTTTCCAACACACTTGTCCAAGGATAGCAACGGAGAACTGAAATTCTCGTTCCTCCAGTATTTACTTGAAGCAACAGAAAGCAGAAAAATTTCTTGAAGCCAGCATATTCAGTCATATTCTATTTCAAAAATTACTAATTCTGGATATGTGACTGTAGCCATAGCATAATAATTTGTTAGATTATTATAAACAATCATTGTCTTAATGGATAGACCATCCAAAAACAAACACATGGACACATAAAGAATTCTGCCCTCTTTTGCACATTATTCAATTTGTCCAATACACAGAGCAAATTGTTATACCTACCTGCACAGCCAAAAGCAAGATGGTACCTGGATGAGGGGCTGAATTTTACACAACACACATTTGCCTTGGCCTCAATGCTTGCTACTGAATTGTCCAGGTTGGTTGACCACAGCTTCACTAAGGAAAGATAAAAGAAACACAAGCAAAATGGGTAGATCAAGCTGCAACTGCTTTTCTGAGATTTTCACATGAACTATTTGCTCCTTTTATTATTTAACCGCTAGACAGAAAAGTAGCAACAGGAAAAAGCAATGTTTACTATTAACTTTCTAAGGCAGAAGTAGGCAATATATGGACCACATGCAATCTTCACAATGGAGTAGTGGGAATTCCATATGCCTCTGCAAGACTCCTTAATCACCCTGTGCAAAAAAAAAAAAAAAAAAAGGTCCCACTTATTCCAGTGACATGATGACATCACCAGTCACACCCTCTGCAATCTACCGACAGGGCAGAAAGACAGTATAGCACTCAACCGCAAGAGATTCTAAACTAACTATCTTGGGATATAATGCAAGAACCAGGGTGTGGCCTTAATATAAAACCAAAGCGCAAGAGGCTTATTTTTAATTTCTGTTGAATTTTGTTCAAAGGTTTTGAGTTTTATTCTTCTAGAAAATATTACTCTCTAGCAAAATGTTTTGAATGAAGCTGTTTTGTTTCAGACTTAGGATAAAACACGTTTTTAGTTTAATGCTTACCCCAAACTTACAGTCAGCTTTCCTATTAACTGATCTGAACTGAGACGTTTTCAGAAAACAAAAAACCTGACAAGTTATTCCTAAACTCTTTTCAATCACAGTTCCAAAAGCAAAAAAATATATTTTTAAAATGTGTTAGACATCAAATCCTTTTCTACACAACATCAATAGTCAGAACCACTGTTATATAAAATCTCAGCCTATTCATCTTTTATTTACTATTCATAAAATGGATGTTTATTACTATGTAATAATTTAACATCGTAGTAACTGTGTTGCCTAGCACTTACATTTGAAATTTTGAAAACATGGCATGGTACTATGGTTACTGTAGAAGTACAGATCTGAACATTCACAAAATGGCTGCTATGATGCTATGTTGTTGTTGTTTAGTTGTTAAGTCGTGTCCGACTCTTCGTGACCCCATGAACCATATTGCGCCAGGCCTTCCTGTCCTTCACTGCCTCCCTGAGTTTGCTCAGTTTCATGCTCATATGATGCTATAGCGAGTCATAAAACAAAAACATGGAGCTGATGGTGTAAAGGCAGACATCTGTGGTTACATTAGTGCTTCAAAGTATCATACTGGAAAACCTAGGGTTACAGATAGGAATCCATTTCTTTTGGCAAGTTAAAGAGATACTTAATTGTGAAGAGGAAGTCATTGGGATTAAAGGAGAAGACAAGAATATGAACTAATATTTGCATGAGGCTTGAAAGTATGTGACTATATTTACTATGTGATGAATCCTACACACCTATTTTAGTTATTAACAGGTTTCCCATATGGCCTAAACACATTTAGAGACCCAGTGTGGTGTAGTTGTTAAGGTGCTAGATCAGGAGTAGGGAAACTCAGGTTCTAGTCCTCCTGTAGGCACAGAAACCAGTTGGGTGACCTGGGACTAGTTACTTCCTCTCAGCCTAAATCAACATCAGGCTCTGCAACAAGCTGGCTGATAAACAAAACCCCTCTTTGCATTGAGAGCCACTGTGGTGTAGTAATTAAGGTGCTGACCTAGGAGTGGGGAGACCCCAGTTTTCCCTTACTTATGGAAACCAGATGGGTGATCTCAGGCTACTCACTCTCTTTCTGAGTCAGGCTCTGCAACAAGCCAGCTGATAAACGAAACCTCTCATTGCATGAAACGTAATAGCTTCACTTTAAGAACTAGACAAGTATGATGCAAAAACAAGTGGACTCTGCAGATATTAATCCAGCTGTGGCATAGTGATTAAGAGAAAAAAAGCAATACCTTTTGCATCATCAGAACCTGAAGCCAAGAGTTTAGGGTCCATCAAATTAAAGTCCACACTCCAGCATCTTTTCTCATGCTCCTGTTTTGTCATGGGGGAACAGAAAGAATGTTAGAAAATTACTTCTTCAATATAACCCAGATAATAATGAAATACACAGAATTTTGGTTAAATTATTATTGATGAAGCTTTACTATTTTTCTTCTACCCTATATAATTGCTTGTATTGTTTGATAGCAGCCTCAGCCAGGGCACAAAGAAAGCTATCTCAATGCCTAGTTAATTTTTTAAAAAGTTACATCTTGAAGATCTTAGATTATTCTTCTTATAAAAGTATGTGTTTTGACTTGCTACTAGTCCCTCAAGGGATTTTTTGAAAAGAGGCAACCGCTAAACATTTCACCTCTAAAAATAAATTAGCCACTTAGTAGGATATACAAGCAGTATGTTGCTCTTTAGACTCAGTTCTCAGGAGTCAAAAGAACCTTATTTAATTAACACATTCATTTCAGCATCTCTAGCCTTTTTAAACATGATTCCACATATGCTGGAGTTTCTAATTTAAGATTGGACATTTTAAAAAGTCAGAATTTTTTTTTTAAATAGAGAGTTTAGTTTAATAACTCCTATTAATCAGTTTTCAACTAGAAGAACAATAAAGTTTTTTGAGAAAACAGGAGTCTGAATATTGTCTGCAAATTTAGAATCCTTTTCCATCTGAAATTTTCAGCAACAGGTTCTGTACAGAAGCATGTTGACTTGTACAAGGTACCATCTCTTACTCATTAAGGGTTCCTATATTTTTATTTGGATAGGTCTACTATCAACTGATTTAGTGGATCAAGTATTTCAAACTCTATGGAGGGCAGTTAGGATAGAAATGATTTCAATAAATAACAAATTAAAATAATTCCACTGAAGCATTAATACATTAGTAAAATGCCTGAAAAGGCAGTAATTTCCTCACAGTCCTAAACAACTTCCAGCTCCATACTGGTGAGCATCCTTTTTCATCATCTAATTCCTGATTCTAAATGCTTTGTTCACTGCAATGTTTTCATTTTCAGTACTTCAGTAGCAACTGCACTGTCAATATCAGAACCTCTGAATAGTTACTCTTTTTTCCTAATCCTGATTTTTTAAAAAAAATTATACATAGGTGATTCTGGATGTGAAGGACTGCCTGCTGGATTTATTGTCAAGGAACAGAAATAACAGTACAAGAGGTCATTTACTGAAAGCACATGGTGATTCATAAGCTCTACTAGTGAATGTTAAAAATTCTTGACTCATGAGACCTGTTTTTAACAAGAATTTAACAAGAATTTTTAAACAAGAATTTTAACAAGTTTTCATTTTATCCTCCATGATGAAACAGTAAGATGGACATTAACTGAAGGCAATACCCCATTGTACAGATTTATCTCATGTAAATATCAACAGTTCTGGCATCTGCAATGCCAAACCATAAAGCAAATGATGAAAACAAATGAGGCTCATTTTCAATGATAGCAGAAGAGCCATGCCTTTTGGGCTAAGACATGGAACTGGGAGGAAGCAACTATGACTCTTTAGTTTTCAGGGCCACATTATTAGAGTGAAGACCACACATGTGCACAAAGCCACAATACTCTTTACATAGCTTTTATACAAATTCACACATAATGCATTCTTGTTCATTTTCTGCACCCCGCAAGAACACATTTGCCCATTCTTTCTTTTATACCCCACTTGTCCCTCTCTTTTGCACACACGTACATGTACACCACTTGTTCTCCCATACACACCCATTTTCTTTCTTACAGACACAATTTCTCTCATCTACAACCATGTTCTCTTTCAACCATTCTCACTTCATTTTCTCCCACATATCCATAGTCTCACAAAGAGATACTTCTGGAAATGTTGAATTCACAGGGAAAAGGAGGTTTTGCTTTTGTTTTGGGGTGAAAAAATTCAAAATTTTATAAAAAAAATTTTTTTATACCATCCTTTACTGATCTAAGTTCACTTTGCTACTTTCAGAATATATAGTACGTTTATTCATATAATTACCAAGTTTGGTATATTTATTAAATTTAGTCAGAAAATAATTGTGTTAACTAATTTAATTAACTTAATGTTTTTAAAATTTTCTTTTGATATTCCTTTTGATGCTCCTTTCCTTTAAAGCCTAGTCAAGAGCATAACCAACTAAATTCTATATAAGAAATCAGCAAGCTATAAGGAAATCAAACACTTTTTTCATTAACTCAGTTTTTAACTCTATTTTTTGTAATGTTTTTGATCAAAGTCTTCACACAGACATGTTTATAATGACTTGTAAAGGAATTTCTGTTCCTATTTGTTTTCTACAATAATTGTGCATAAGTTTTAGACTCACAGACTAGGATTGGATGAATCAATAATTATCATCTCTCTATATGTGTGCATGCATGCGTGTGCGCACGTGTGTATGTGTGTGTGTGTGTGTGTGTATGTATGTATGTATGTATATATATATATATATATATATATATATA